GTGGTGCAGAGCGCAAGAAAGCGAAGGAAGCTGAAGCTGCCTGGAACGCCTACGTGCAGAAGTGGGAGGAGCTCAAGAGTGCACCGAATATCGCTCAGGAGAGTGCCCAAGGAGTGCGCTATCTCATCCCTTGGCCTGTCGTTTCCGGTAATGCCAAGCAGATCTCAAAGGAAGAGATTGAGCGCTTCCTGCGGATTTCGGGCGCCTGGAAGGACGACCCGGCTGCACTGCTAAAGGTTGAACGCGTACGATGGCATCCGGATAAGATGCAGCAGCGCTTCGGACAGCATATTGATGTTGATACGATGAAGTCGGTTACCGCGGTCTTCCAGATCATTGATCGCCTATGGACAGAACGACGATGAAGAATCAAATCAGGTCACTGCAATCCGTGGCAGCGTTATTTATCTAGTGGATGTTTCGTTGACCTTCGAGACAGAACTTGAGTTGCAGTTTGTGGCAATAACTCTGTTTTGCAAGCACATCAGCCCATGATTTCGCTAATCGCCTCTGCTGTATGCACTAGAACACATCTCGATGTCCCGAGCAACTTCTCGGTCTATTTCCGGCACCCCCAACTCTTACCGGCTTCAGTACGAGCCATGCTTTCCAACTTCCGATGGGATAGTGGCCACAGCGACAATCACAATTTCCGCTGCATGGTTGCCTCGCATCGTCCGTGGCAGTCCTTAGACCTCATACGCCTCATCCACAAGCCAAGAACGCTTGGCACTCTATCAGTGACGAGTGCGACCACAAGGCGACGCATGAGAGCTTGATGTGCTAAGTGTCCGGCTAAAGGCTTGGTCCCTGGGCAAAAGTGCTTTTGCGAACCCCGTTTTTCAATTAATCGCCCACGATCATCTGATAGTCCCTTGTGCCTAGGAATGTATATTGAAGACAAGCTAATGACGAGAGAATTGATTGTCTTGACGCGATGCTTCGTCTATTGGCATGGGATTGGCACGGGGCTTGGAAGGGCTTGACGCTTGCTGTCGCCTTGGCCAATATCGCAACACACGACCCTATCTGACGACTTGATGGCTTATCATCTTCCTTTGCATTTGGCTTTACAAGTTGCTGGTGCTTAGACAAGTTTTGCTGATGTCGATGCGGCTCGTTTCACAACGCCGGTTTGAGCCAATAGCATAGTCACATAACCTCACAGCCACTGAAAGCGCAGTGTCACGTTTCAAGGCGGTGATGTTTGGCAAGTCAGCAAGTAGTAAGGAGATTTTCGGGCACTAATAGCCGGTGGTTTTCAATCTTCTCGGAAGCGGCTCCATACCTGCACCCCACACATCTACCGGCAGAAATACGCCACTAACAATGCCTGTCACGGCGACGTGCTCCTTCAATTTAGAGACGCCATCACACTGGTTTGGTGGCGGCTAGTCACCGATCAGTTACCCGAAGCATGGAAAGGGTCGCATCCAGGTACACCATGAAGGTGTATAAAAGGTCGTGAATCCTCGAAGATTGAAGACACCAAGCAACTCCATCACATTAATCAACATGGTCGCTTTCTCTTCCATCTTGCTCGCTCTCGGCAGTGCCACCGCGGCGCTCGCCTCGCCTCTCAACCTCGTACTCGACGCCCAGAAGCGCGATGCGGCTGCCTTGAACACCAGGTCCACTCCCTCTGGAACTGGTACTAACAACGGCTTCTTCTACTCTTTCTGGACCGACAACCAGGGCTCAGTTACCTACAACAATGGTGCTGCTGGATCCGTATGTGCCCCTCATCTCCAAATAACTTTCACCTACTAACGGCTGTACAGTACGACGTCAAATGGTCCAACGTCGGCAACTTTGTCGCCGGCAAGGGCTGGAACCCCGGCGGTGTCCGCAACGTAACCTACTCGGGCACCTGGAGCGGGCAAAACGTCAACTCGTACATCTCCTTGTACGGCTGGACCCGCAACCCCTTGATCGAGTACTACATCGTCGAGGCCTACGGCTCTTACAACCCCGGTTCTGCTGCTCAGAAGAAGGGATCCATCAGCGTCGACGGTGGTACCTACGACATTCTCCAGACCACCCGCACCAACCAACCGTCTATTGACGGAACATCGACCTTCCAGCAGTTTTGGTCGGTTAGGCAGCAGAAGCGTGTCGGTGGAAGCATCAATGTCCAGGCTCACTTTGATGCGTGGAGCAAGTATGGACAGAAGCTTGGAACGCACAACTACCAGATTTTGGCTACTGAGGGATACCAGAGCAGTGGTTCAGCTTCGATTACGGTTTCGGGACCGTAGATGGCAAATGAGGAGGCACGTACTGGGCTGCATGTCAATCGCTTAGGAGGGCTCAACGGTGCTTGGTAGATATATGTTAGGATGGGTTATACTAGCTATTAAGCTACATCACAATTCATGCAACGCTTTATCAGATGCCTTTGACCAATGCTACTTTTGAACTATTTGTGTTGCTCAAGACGCAATACTTGGGGAGATGTCCCAAGGCTATTGTTAATGTCGGTATCGAAGCTGATTAGCATTCTGATGTTGACTCCGTCTGCATTTTCGCACCTAAGCATCCTTGTCAAGGCCCTGATCGCATGTCCTGGCTAAGCGTATGTTAGAGTTAATCGTATGTCAACTCTGAGGCTGCAAATTCTTCGTCTCACACTTGATTGGTTCTGGGCTTCAACTTGGTCTAGAAACAGCTTCACGACAATTTGAGACCCCATTTTAGCAAATTTAGCAATAGTTTGCTTCATCATTGCTACTAGAGATCGTTGAGACTTGACATTGGCCCGAAACAACGTCGCTCACAATATTGCGAGGTATCAATGCATCGTTGCCTGTGTAAGAGAGTATTGATGTGTATGCAATCCCTCACTTCTTGCCCAATTCGATAAGCGCCCTCCTACCCAGATCAGATTCCTCCCACCACAACCCATTCACCTTCAAGCCAGCGCTTTCAGCCAATTCATGCCACTGTCCCTCTGTTCTCTCTAGTGCGCCAATACTCATCATATGCCAATCCATTTTAGCTTCAATCGGTGCGACCCCCTCCTCTGGTAATACGGTCTCGTGGATCAACACGACTGAGTCCTCGCTCATCGCATCCCTGAGGTTCTCTAAAATAACCTGCGCCTGCTTTTGTGGCCAGTCGTGCAGGATCGTGCGGAGATAATATGCCTTTGCACCCTTGACTGAATCTGGTTGCGCGTTGAAGAACGAATGCCCGACTTTGAGGGCGTGATCGGGACACGATGTGGCTGCATCAACAACACTGGGTAGATCTTCCAACAACAGTTTACCCTTGAGATCAGGAAACTGTGCAGAGAACTTGACCAGCTGATGTCCAACGCCGCCTCCGATATCAGCAAATAGCACTCTTCCTTCATCCTCGTTCTTGAGACGCTCCTGTGCTGGATATCCACTACTCGTCCACGCCGCATCTGCACTACTCCGCTGTAGTGTCATTGTCACGTTGAACGCATCTGCATAGCGCTCATTACCGGGGAGAGCTAAAAGGTCGAACCAGCTGCCCTTGTGGCCGTGCCCGGCGTTCGCAGGTGCGTCTGTCGCATCAGTGGGGCTGGTATAGCCGTGCGAGGCAAAATACTCCGGCATGGCCGCGATAGCTGGGTAGACGTGGGTGAAGTGCACCAGACCGGACGAAAGAGGAGATGCCGAGACAAGGGTTGCTGCGAGGGGTGTGGAAGCATAAGTCGTGGGATTGACTTGAGTGAAGTAGCCCAGGGGGACCAGCATGCGGATTGTACGGACTATATAAATATTTCGTTAACATGAAAGAAGCATGATAGACGGATGAGGAGAGGACGAACGGATGAAGGCTTCGTCTGCCTTTGTCTTTTGCGCGAGTTCGGATAAACTGATGGGTCCGCCGTGCTCTACGGCGACGTCAAAGAGCTTGAGGTCGACGGCGATGCGGAGAGACATAGCATCGTAAATGCCCTTGGTTTCCGATCAGCTTCGCATATTTCCTCTGTCAGTCCGGTGATGACCTACAAAGGAGAGCCGCAACAACCTCTCCACCGGATTTTCCAGCGTCTCAACGAGCTTGACACTTGCCTGCAACAACGCAAGTCGTGCAGGCTCACCCAGATCTGCCGCGCCCTTTTCAACGGCTTGGAGAACTTGCTGTGCTAGATCTGCCATATTTGCGCACTGTCTTGCTCTTTGTTTTCCTTGTGGTAGATGCAGCGATTTCAGTTGCAATCAAGGCTTTGCTGTTATTAGATCTTCAGGTCTCCATCAGCTCTCTTTATACTTCACCTACCTCTAGTACCCACAGTCCCGTTCAAATACTGTCATCATTTGGCCCCCATCAACATACACGATTTCCAGCCACATGTCCAGTACTACCCAATCAATTTACAGACTAATACGAGGCTGAACGCTGGGAGGCAGGAAACTTGGTTTTCCGAGCTTGTCGTGGACGGTTTGGACCCCGAATGGCTTAGCCAACGCCATAAGCTGACATCACAAGCTCTGAAACGGGCGTTATGGTGCGCGAATCTAGCCTATCTGCGGCATCGGTCAAGTCGCACACGTCCAGCAAAGTATATATGTTGGAGAGTACGTATGTTGGTAATGTCGGGAACGTGGGAAGCGGGGCACCGATGGATCAGAAATGAGAGTCGTTTGTTAAGCAAGAGGAGAGTTTTGGTGAGGGGTGATGAGGGGAGAGGAACGTTTTGAGGGTTCCAAGGAGAGAATTATAGTATTGGCAATTATCAGAGATGTGCAGTGAATATATAATCTCGTGATGGATACTTCGATGGGTAAATGTCTGATGAGTGTGGTTTGATGTGAAGATTTGTTGATGGCTGAATGGTTACCCCACTTCGGCCCCACCTGTGAAAAGTTCATCGACTACAGAAGTCGAGGGTGCTGCCACAATGATGCGAAAGACGGCCAAAAGTCCGGAATCTATCTTGGACAAACGCTTTATTTTTTTGCAGTATCTATATACACAATTATTTCACAAACATTCCACCAATCAGCGCATAGCGCACTGAATTGGCCCTCTTGGCTTAGTGGTAAAGCGTATCACTAGTATTGATTGCTATGATAAGATCGCTCGTTCGATTCGGGCAGAGGGCAGATGAAGTTTCGTTTTTTTGTTCCGTTCGTAGTGCCAGCTAGCTTGAAACATTGGTAGCTACCTTTTTATCCTACCTACTTCGTACACACTATACGATTTACCTTGCATCCTTTGTACCCTTTGGCATCTCTCGCTTTGAAATATGTGTTTGTGACTGTGACTGTACACCCTACTGTCTAAGTTGCGCAAGCAACGGTTGTTGTAGTAATTGATATTGTACTAGCGAAAGTACTCAACGTGGCTGTCGTTTCTGAAAAACGCACACGCTGATTGTGTACTCCTAATTTCCACTTGCTACAGCGAGTCTTGAGCAGCACTTCGCTTGCATACTTTCATGAAAGCGAGGTGAAACCATTACCTGCGACGTCCTGTTGCTGAAGTGTGCAATGGTGGATGGTATAGAACGGCAAGTGCAACATTCGAATTGATATCGGTACTATGATTAGCCCACACGAAACATGTGCATCTTATGGAATACTTGCTAAAAGTGCAGTCTTTCCTTTGCGACGAGACTATGCAACATCTAATATTTGTCCTATTGACCACTCAGCCGTCATCTCCTACAGCCAACTCAGTGAGGTGCTATTTGATATAACAAAAGTGAACTGCGAATTTCAACTAGTCGATTAAAGTAGACTAAGTGCATGTTTATTTTCTAGATTTAAAAAATCGGCGGAAAGCTACAATATACTGACAAGCCGGTGTTCTCCGCTTAAGGCTGTCATATATTGTGTGGGATACGTCACATTTTATTCGGCATATCTTCAAGAGCTTTTCTCCGCCTCCTGCATAGCTTCCAGCGCCTCTCTCGCATTCCTTCTCCCATCCTCCTCAAGATCATCAGCAGCAGCCAACTGCCCCCATTGCTTCGTCCACCACTCCCATCTCTCCATCGAGTACCCCAGCCCGCCGAACAGCACCTCTACATCCTTGCCCTCCCTCTCCACTACGGTGTTTGAGAAAATTCCTATGGCCGGGCCTGGACATTCTATCTCCTCCTGACACATTCTCCACACCACAGAACTCGCATACCGGAACAAATTCGCCGCTGCTGGCAGCGCTGCCTCGAAATTGGCGTGGCCACGGACATCAAGCACGTACAGAAAATTGTAGCTCGCGCGGTGCATATAGTAGTCCAAACCTTTCGGGCCGTACAGATCTGTGACAACAAGACGCGCGATCCACGCGTTGATGCTGGCCCACTCGGTGGCATGTTCGGGTGGACATTTGTCGAACTGGACTTTGGTGTGCTCGTATCGATCGGTAATCTGCGGGGTGAAGTATGGGAGTTCTGCCCATTGGACGAGTTGAGGACCAGGGTTCACGTGTTTGCGAAGGGTGGGTGCATGGACCTAGGTACGAAGTTAATTGCTTTCTATATTTACAGACTGTTGCATACAGTTTGTGGGGGAAGGCACTTCAAAGCGTGGAGGATCTTGATGATTGGAGTTTGGTATTGGGGGTTTGTGATGGCTGCGTGTTGGAGCGTTGTGAAGATGCTGTATACAGCGTCGTAAACAGCATCGTAGTCGTCTTCGGAGTCGTCTTCGTCGTTAGCCGCGGTACCGTCAATCATGGCTTTTGGGATTGTGGATGAGAGTTGCTGGGCACATGAGTCGGCTGTTATATTACTGGCCTGGACATGTCAGCCGTACGATCTTGACTCTTGCCCGACTTTGCATCATTGAATGCCTCACGAGATACTGCTTCAGTGCTGAGAGCTGGTTGTGCACTACGTCGTCTTCGGAGAATTGTTCCCAATTTCCCGCAAGTGATGGCAATTTTACTTCGGAGTTCGACATGTTGAGTATGTTTAGATTTTGGGAGGTGAATAGATCAAAGGCTAATCGTGCGTTGGTATTTAAGTGACCACATAGTGATCAACGCCTGAAGACCCAAGGGGTGAATCTAAACATGATGTGAGTACCAAGGTAATGAGATAGGCAACCCATGACGTCATATCACCGCTACACAATTACACAAGATGCCACTTCCGGTGCTGAGAAAGAGTTCATATTCGGCAGGTGAGACTAAGGCAACTATTGTTGGTTGCATTCTTTCGTCTAGACACCACGTGACGATGATCAACGTTGCGCAGTTACGCAACATGAAGGTGACCATTGCACAATTCTACACCGGTACATAATCCCGCAGTCAGCGGGATAGAATTTGAGACTCCCCTCCGGTGCCTTGCTTTATGTCAGTGCAATTCAATCTACAAATGCGGATCAAATATATCTGCACGTCGAATGTCCATTCACAATGCCTGATTTTGTGGACGATGCTGAATGATCTCATGAAGATGAACACTCTACTTCTTTTGGGCATACTACTCAAGGCCCTACAAAACTGACTGGAGATCCTTTACTCCACTAGCTGCATAAGCTTGTGAGACGGGCGTCGCCCTCCGTCAGCATGTATCATTCTCATTCAAAATAATCTTACTTCCTGTTTCCAATGTCAGAGTTGTACCACGCAAATGATGTATGGCCCGAAGGAGGGCGTTGTCTCGCTATCCACACTCACAACTCTTTCCAAAATTCGTGGTCATTCCGATGTACGTGTGAGCTCAGACCCTGATCCCGTGTCCTTCTTCGTGATGAACGACCGTCGATAGACTGTCTCTGGAGAGTATCACAGCTTGGAGGGTGCGACATTGGAGTAACAGCGGGGCCTGATCTCGCATCATAGTTCCGCTTGTTGACGGCTGCGAGGTCTCTATCCAACAGAGCGCAAGAGACTTGAGGAACACGGTCGCCAGACTTTAAGCATCTGTGGTATCTGGAATGAGTTATAAGAACCATTCTCCACCCAGCATAATTTCGATCAAGTCATCACATCTTCACTTAGCACCCAACACGACTCCCAATAAAACCTCATTGCAACTTACTGCAGCTTTCGATATGAAGTTTCAGATCTTTACTGCAGCTCTTTATGCCTCCTTGGCACTTGCATCCGCAATCCCACAGCCAGTGGCGGAAGATGCCTTTGCTCTCGAGGCCCGCGCCATCACAATTAAGAATAAGCCCTCCAAGGAATGGGAGTGCCCTGGTAAGGACGGCAAGAAGGCAAAATACAGTGTAAAGGACATCACGAATGCCATTGAAAAGGGTATCGAGTGCGCCAAATCTGGCGTACAAGTCAAGTACAAGAACGACAACGCTTTTCCCTGTGCGTCCCGCCTTCATCCATGTCTTTTGTACCGGTACTAACAGAACCCATTCAGCCCCTATTAATCATCCCGACTCCCTCCCAGATATCCCCGATAAATACAAAGATGACAAGGTAAGAAGCTCCATATACATTTTAAAGGCAAGCATGGACATGCACTAAGTTTGTACGACATGATAGAATGTAGTGCATTTCCCAATGAAGAACGGAAAGGCTTTCAACGGTAGAACCGCGGCAAAGCCAGAGCGTGTCATGTATCTGCACACTGGCAAGGAGGACGAGGCTGAGTTCATTGGGCTCTGGACCCACGAAGGCGCTGAGAAAGGACAGTACTTAGCCTGCAACGAGAAGAAGTAAGGGCAAGGCTTCTAGGAGGAATGGTGATTTGGTGCCGGAGATATTTCAAGCAATTCCTTCAAGGATGTGGAATGCCGGGAATTATGTTTTTGAGCGCGGCAGGTATATCACAGTCTTTACCGAGCAGTCTAATTCTACGAGGATTTCGTATTCACTGGTATTATCAGTGAATCGAAGAGAAACTATGCCGCTCAAGTGAGGTCGATGATGAGAATGTAACGATCCAGGGAGCTCACAATCCTCAAATCACTCTCAATGTGGCTCATCGAGGAATCGTTTTAAGCAGAGCGTGCTGAAGAAAGAGGTACAGCCGAAGGCAGCAGCCAAGACTTGTCTCATTTGGGCCAATCAATTTGTAATGAAGCAGTTCCGTTGCGAGAAGTGAGCATGGTCAGCGTTGTCGGTATGGTTTTGGTGCATATCAGGACAGTAGCCTCAAACTCTGTTGCTTCAAAATAGCTTTAGGGCGAAGCGGGGTCCTAGTAGCGTGGACTGGCCGTCCCATTGCGCAGTATTTCTAGTATAATTGTCTTCAATTTCATCCAAACACATCATATGGTGTGCTAAAAATCGTGCCAATCGGTGTCCGGCAATGCCTAGACCTGCCTAGACCTGATGGGTATGGTTTCACACAACAGAAGTTGTCTTTGCCGCCAGTCGAATTCAGCGTAGTTACACATCACTCACAACAGTATTTGTATTTCTGCTCTGATAAAGCCATGGTAAGCATATCTTCAAAGCAGAAGGTCCTAGAAAGAGCCAGGCATGAGTAAAACTATACTCGTGACGACCATGGCACACATTGCAAGGATTTCCCGAGTTTCTATATTAGCGATCTCCAGGTTGATTTTATCGTCTTCCTGTGAGACGAATTTGAGCCGCTAGCTAGACCTTTAGGGATCACGTATTCACCAGTCGATAGCGCCGTGGGAAGTCATTGCCAGAAGCAATTTGAAAAAAAAAGTATCAAGGTCAACAAGACTAGACAAGCTTTAGACGCAGTCCAGTCATAAAACCAGAGATTATTCATTGCGACCATTACTGAGACAATGCATACCTACTATTGCAGGCGGGAATGTCGCGTGGACTATTGTCAGGCTTCTGGAGAACGAGATCGACAAGGCCCTCGACGTCTGCCAAGACAGTGAAACGCCCAGCTGCTGGCGCTTTGTGGCAACTGACCAATCACAACAGCTCTTGCAAAGCTCCTATGTGTGTGAAACGCATGGTTGTCATCACGGGCGACGAAGGTGGTCGCTCTCGGCGGCGGAATTAGGAAGGTAATCTAAATAGTGTGTATGCGCCCTCCATCACGATTTGTCCGTGCGGGGTTAAAGACCAGGCTGGGCGCATGGTCCGAGCAACCTGCTTATCGACTACTACAGAGTCCCTATCGTACTTCAACCTCCTTCCTGTTAAGCTATTCTATCTTTCCGACTCTACTGCAGCTGAACACATACATCGGAACACA